ACAATGCCGCGGGCTCGTCTTTCGGTATCATCAAGCCTTTTGTTTTCATCCTGTCTTATCGATCAATATCCGCCCTTTGGTATACACACATATACATCAAATCCGGCCACAATTTCCGGGGTAAACGCACTTTGACTTTCTTGTTCTCCTTGGTCAACTCTCTGCACAGCTTCTCGAGCTTGTCCTTCATGGTAACCGTCTTGTTCAGCTCAGATTTCCCCTTGTCCTGGTCCTTCTGCAGCTGGTCTGCACGCTTCTTGCTCTTGTTGTGGTCACGGTCCAGCTTTTTCATCTCTGCCAGGAGTTCCGTATATTTCTTGTGCACAGTCTCAAGACGGGTCATTGGAGACTCGATAGTGCTTAGCAGCTGGTTTAGGTCTCTGGTAGCCTTTTTGACCTCGCGCTCTGTAGATAATCACATCGGCCAGAAAAAAGAAAGAGACGGCCATGCGGTTAGAATGAATCACTCTTTAGGCGCAAAGAAAAACAAGACAGTATAATAATAATCACAAGCGGGACAAAAGAGACAGCAAAAACAAGATGGAGACAGGGAGAATAATAACATACCTATCTCTGCCTCCTGGTCCTTTTCACCAGCCGCATCTTGCTCGAGCTGGGATATCTTTGCAGCCAGCAGCTTGGAGGTTTCGCCTGGGTCGGCATGTTTCTTGCCCTTCCCTTTCTTCGCTATAGCCGTGGGTGCCATCGTCGTCCGCTTTTCTGGGCTCTGAACAGCACTGTATTCACCCGCCGTATGGGTCCCTCCGTCTCGTAATGGCTGATATCTTCTTAATCACTCCTCCGAATGCACACACACACACACCTGGCCCTCCTCTGGGGTCCCTCACGACCGCCTCGCCGCTGAACAACAGGCAGCAGCCGGAACGTATACACTGACACAAGGGAGGTCCGCCGTATCTACCATCCCAGTCGACAGTCCGTCTCTTCGCAGCAGCGTCCTGGGCGTGCGTTTTCTTCAGGTCCGAGAGAGGTTGGCGATGAGTCCCGGTAGGCGGCAGCCGGTCCGCCCGCTGAGCAAGAAGAACAGGCGGGCTCGAGCAAAAAACAACAAGGTATGGCAGCCTGATCGAAAGCCGCTCGCGGTCTCTGCGTCTGCCGTTGCTGCGTCGGTCTCTGCGTGTGCTTGCTTGTCTCGCCGTCGCTGCGTCGGAGGAGGTTGTGTTTGTTCCGTCGAAGGGCCAAATTTGTCAGAGCAAAGAAGAAAAAAAGACCAAGAGAAAATGGAAGCACAGCCAATTGAGCGGCGCCGCAGCGTCTCTAGCGCCAAAGCGACTCGTTTTTTCTTTACTTCGCTGCAGGCTTGGAATAACCAACATACAGGCCGAAGAAGAAGACGAGGACGAGGACGAGGACGACAGTTGGATAGCTCGTCTCTGCCTGTGCCGTTCGCTACGTGAGCTAACTATCTCTAACTAGCTGTTGGCGGTTGATCGTCCGTCGTTCTATAGTTATATAAACCACCACCGCGGATTGCGATCTCGATTCTACAGCTCCGGAAGAGAAAAAAAGACAGGAAGACTCGGTTTGATTTCCGTTCATTGGAGTCGACGATGGTAGTGGCTGGACGCTGAAGACTGGATAATACAATTGAGGCCTGAGAAGAGAGCGAGACGGCCGTGAAGATGCTGCGGTCGGGAGGCAGACTGGGCAAGCTGGGGAGCTTCAGGGCTCCGGCAGCGCTGTCGAGACATGCTCAGCCAGGGAGCAGCCTGGGACTGAAGCTGAAGGACAGGAGATGGGCGTCTACGTCGACCGTGACGGCGCTGGAGAGCTATCCGGCGGCTGGCGAGAAGCTGCATGGCTTCATCGTGCAGCAGAAAAAGCACATCCCAGAGCTGCATCTGAGTGCCATCCACCTGAAGCACGAGAAGACGGACGCAGACTACCTGCATGTTGCAAGAGACGACAAGAACAATGTCTTTGGCATCTCGTTCAAGACGAACCCTCCGGATGCTACCGGAGTGCCGCATATCCTCGAGCACACCACCCTTTGCGGCAGTGAAAAGTCAGTATACCCAACACTTACCGCATATATCTATATCTATATCTATATATACGACGGGTCTAGAGACAGAAAGATGGATGTGGCTAACAGATTACTTCTAGATATCCCGTTCGAGACCCCTTTTTCAAGATGCTGCCACGTTCACTCTCTAATTTCATGAACGCCTTCACCTCCTCGGACCATACCACATATCCCTTTGCTACGACCAACAAGAAGGACTTTCAGAACCTGCTTTCTGTCTATCTAGATGCAACTCTACACCCACTGCTCAAGGAGGAGGACTTTCGGCAGGAAGGCTGGCGGTTAGGCCCAGAGAACGCCAGAGCTGCTGAACACAGCTCGCAGGATGGGCCCTCGAGTGAACATGCAAAGGACGATGACATCGTCTTCAAGGGCGTCGTGTATAACGAGATGAAGGGGCAGATGTCTGATGCAAACTATCTTTACTACATCCGGTTCAGGGAGCAGATAATCCCGGCCCTAAACAACTCTGGTGGTGACCCGCAGCATATCCCAAAGCTCACGCACCAACAGCTGGTTGACTATTCCAGGTCAAATTACCACCCGAGCAATGCACGAATATTCACCTATGGAGACATGCCTTTGGCCGACCATCTGGCCCAGGTAGGAGAAGTGCTCAACGGGTTCGAGAAGAAGGCCAATCCGCTGGACGTCAAGATGCCTATTGACCTGAGCTCTGGACCGACCAATGTCACAGTGAGCGGCCCAACTGATACCTTTGCCAGCGAGGACAAGCAAACAAAGACTTCGGTCTCCTGGCACGCGGGAGACTCCAGAGATAACGTTGAGCTCTTTTCAATGGGGATACTGTCGTCGTTGCTACTTGATGGCTACGGCTCTCCGTTGTACCGGGCTCTTATCGAGAGCGGAATCGGCTCGTCGTTCACCCCCAACACCGGGCTAGACACGTCCGGAAAAGTGCCTATCTTTTCTGTTGGAGTGAATGGAATATCAGAGGCAGATGTACCCGACGTTCAGAAGAGCATACAAAAGGTGTTTGAAGAACAACTTTCCAAGGGCTTCAACGACGAAAAAGTACAGGGCATGCTGCACCAGCTTGAACTCGCTCTCAGACACAAGACAGCCAATTTCGGCATGGGGATAATGGAAAAAGTCATTTCGTCGTGGTTCAACGGATCTGATCCGATGAAGGACCTGGCGTGGAACGAGGTGATCAACGAGTTCAAGAAGCGTTACGGAAAGGGAGGCTACCTGGAAGGACTGATGCAGAAGTATTTCATGAATGACAAGTACATGGCGTTTACGATGAACGGGGATCCTACGTATAACGACTCGCTGGTGGAACGAGAGGCTGCCCGCAAGGAGACGATGATGAAAGAGCTCGGCCAGAAGTACGGGTCGATAGATGCTGCCAAAGAGCAGCTGAAGAAAGAAGAACTGGAGCTGCTCAACGTCCAGGAGGCAGCCCAGCAGGCTGATCTGTCCTGTCTGCCTACGCTTACGGTCAAGGATATCCCGCGGCAAAGGGAGAAGAAGGAACTGAGCGAGTCGAAGGTTGACGGCGTTGACGTTGTGTGGCGGCAGGCCCCGACCAACGGGCTGTCGTACATCCAGATATTGAACGCTCTGGACGAGCTTCCGGACCATCTCAGGCTGCTGCTCCCGCTGTTCAACGACTGCATTATGCGTCTGGGCACGAGCAGCAGACGGATGGAGCAGTGGGAAGACCTGATCAAGCTGAAGACGGGCGGGATCAGCTCGTCCACTTTTGCAGCGTCCTCTCCGCTGGCACTGGACCGGTTCTCAGAAGGGATGCAGTTCTCGGGCTTTGCACTGGACAAGAACATGCCGGAGATGCTGTCGATTCTGACCACTCTGGTGAACGAGAGTGCGTTTAGAGGGCCGGATGCACCGCGGATGATCGAGGAGCTGCTGAAGTCGAGCTGCAACGGTGCGCTGGACGCAGTGGCGGCATCTGGCCATCGTTATGCGGTGAACATGGCGTCGTCCACGCTGTCCCGGAAGTTCTGGGCGGAAGAGCAGACATCTGGCCTCTCCCAGATCCAGAAGATGGCCCAGCTGCTCCAGGACGCCCAGCGGTCGCCGGAACGGCTGCAGGAGCTGATTGGCCATCTGCAGACGATCCAGGCGTTTGCTCTGGGACGATCATCTGGCCTGAGAATCCGAGTTGTCTGCGAGGCTGCGATGCGAGCAGAGAACGAAGCTGTGCTACAGCGGTGGCTGTCTGGGTTGAAATCCACGACATTAGCAGCAGCAGCAGCCAAAACCACACTGAAGCCATTCCCCAGGCCGTCGTCTGACAAGGTGCTGTATGACCTGCCATTCCAGGTGTCGTACTCGGGTCTGGCTATGGAGACTGTGCCGTTTGTGAGCCGGTCGAGTGCGCCCCTGAGCGTGCTGGCCCAGCTGCTGACGCACAACTACCTCCATCCCGAGATACGGGAAAAGGGGGGAGCGTACGGGGCGGGAGCGAGCAACGGTCCGGTCAGGGGCATCTTCAGCTTCTCGAGCTACCGGGACCCGAACCCGCTGAACACGCTGCGGGTGTTCAGCCAGAGCGGCGAGTATGCGCGGGACCGGAGCTGGACGCAGCGGGAGCTGGACGAGGCGAAGCTGAGCATCTTCCAGGGGCTGGATGCGCCCGTCAGCGTGGAGGAAGAGGGCCACCGGTACTTCCTGAGCGGCGTGACGCACGAGATGGACCAGGTCTGGCGCGAGCAGGTGCTGGACGTGAGTGCGCGGGAGGTGAGCGAGGCAGCGCAGAAGTATCTTGTCGAGGCCGGACAGCGGTCCTTTTGCCTGCTGGGCCAGAAGAAGGACGAGTGGCCTGATCTGGAGGGCTGGGAGGTGAAGAAGATCTCGCTGGCAGAGTAATGTTGTATTATATAGACTAGATGTAGGATAGATAGATTGACTGTACTATATACCTTGATATTGATACCTGGTCTGTGGTTATAGCTTCAGATTATATATGAACGCGCTACGGACAGAGCTGACATCCTGCATCCTTGCTCCATGGATAGCAGAGAGTCACCCTGATGTATGTATATATATGTGTATATATGTATATATATACTGCTCAGGGGAACAGCGCAAGATTGAAGAGCAAGACCACCTCCGTCTTTCAGACCTGCCCAGCACCCTCGAGGCCCAAGGGGGGCGGACTAAGAATGCGAGGACATGCAAAATAGTAGATATAGTTACAGGACAGGTCTCCGGGCAACCCCCCTGAGACGGACGTAGCCCAGCCAGGCGGAGCCGTCCTCGCGCGAGATGACGGAGTGCAGCAGGTCGCAGGTCGAGCGGATGGCGTCCTCGCGGGCCTGGGGAGGCAGCGTCTCTATCATGGAGGCGCCCATGAGCCTGACCCATCCTGCAATCCCGGTGTCATTGGCATCATTGCTCCCAGAGTCTTTGCTTCTAGAGTCACTCTCGGTGAGCATGGTCGGCCTGTACTCGACCTCGAGGGAGTCGACGACAAAGCCGATGCCCTCGAGGGCGTCTCGCATCCAGGCGGCCGAGGGGAAGAACCAGGGGCTGGCGTCTCTGGCCTGCTGCAGCGGCAAGCCATGGAGCACGAGCGCAGCCAGCAGGGCAGCGTGGACCTCCGCGACGTTGCCGTGGCCGCCCATTTCGAAGACAAAGACGCCACCGGGCCTGAGGCAGTCGAAGATGGCCTGCAGGACGGGGATTCTGGTGCTGGCGTCTCTCAGGATCCAATGCAGCGCTGCGTTGGACACTCTATCAACCGTCAGCCTAACACATCACATCACAACACCCGTATTCGTAGTATGTAGGGTATGGTATGTAGATCGTACACTTTGTCCCAGGAGCCGTCGACGATGTCGGTCTGTCCGAGCAGCCTGCAGTCGAGCACCCGGAAGGCCGCTGGGGACGAGGATCCCGCCAGCCGCGCGCGCGCAGCCTCGACCATGGCCGGCGACGAGTCGAGTCCCAGCACGGCGCCGACGGCAGAGACGAACCTGGCCGTGAACTGGCCGTCGCCGCAGCCGACATCGAGCACTCTGTCCTCGCGGCGAGGCTGCAGCAGCTGCAGCACCGTGTCCGCCAGCCGGGGCACGAAGCTCGCCGCCGCTTCGTATGCCTAGTTATTGTATATCGTCAGCCAGCTCAACCGCCCTCCACGCAGACAGAAGCCCCTATCTCGCACCTCTGAGGACCAGCTGTCCTTTTCTTCTCCCTGCATCTCCGTGTCTCCTCTTTGTGTCCTCTTTGTGTCTGCTTTGTCCTGTGTGAGTGTAACAGCTCGCCGGCGCCACCAAGCCCGCCGCCCACGCTCTGCCTGCAGCCACCGCGCGGCCAAGCTCGCCAAGGGCGCAGCTCGGGATCGCAGGTCGATAGAAGCTGCTGTCGATGCCCTGAGCGGGAGAGAGGGAGGGAGGGAGAAGAGAGCAGGCGATGGACGGGCAGCGGAAGAAGTGCTGGTGGAGGTGAAGGTGAAGATGCCGGCGAGAGATGTTGGCCGGCAGTCGGCTTTTAACCAGCAGAAACATCGCCATCTACGACTACGGCATCACATCGACAGCAACATCGAGAGCAACAGCGACAGCGACAGACATCGACAGCAATATATCCACAGCTTTATAGACCCATCGATGTGCATGGCCTGCGAGCCCGAGCAAGCCGGCTGATCAACAGGAGACCGACGGAAGACTGGAAGACGGAAATCTCTGCCATTCTCTGCTGCTCCTCTGTCTTCTTCTACAGCATCCTCAATGCCTCATGGAGCCCGCAGACGGACGAAGCGACGACAGCGACCGCTACGAGCAGCCGCAGAAGAACGACGACCATGGGCAGAAGAAGAACGACGGGAATGAGCCCTTCCCGGCGCTGCCAGAGCTGCCAGGCCCGCCAGAGACCCTTGAGATGGCGACCCTCAGCATCCCAAACACCCCAAACACTGCGAATACTGCGAATACCCTGAATTCGCCAGCATCACCAGCATCGCCGGCTTCACGGTCGAGCTCGCCCATCTCGGTGGCCTCGGGCGAGCTGGGCATCGTCGCCTCGCGCCGCCCGACCACCGAGAGCGTCCTGACGACGGCCAGCAGACAGCCCAGCGGGCCCTTTGCCGGCCTGCAGCGCTTCTGGTGGGCGCACATCTCCATCCGCGTCCCCAGAAAGCAGAACCGCGACCACTTCGGTACTCCAAACACTTCTATATATATTGATTGAGATAATGCTAACGAGAGGATAGCCCTCGAGAGGACGTACCTGGCGTACATGCGCACCTCGCTGACGTTTGCCATGGTCGGCGTGCTCATCGCGCAGCTCTTCTCGCTCAACCACGCCGTCGTCCACAACGCCGACTTTGGCTTCCACCGCGTCGGCAAGCCGCTCGCCTGCGTCTGCCACCTGCTGGCCGTCCTCGTCGCCGTCGCGGGGGCCTTTCGCTTCTGGCGCCAGCAGCATGCCCTCGCCCGCGGCCGGGTCCACGCCGGCGGCCGCGAGGTCAACTTCATCGGCCTCGTCTCAGCCGCCGTCGTCGCCGTCATCTTCGTCCTCGTCATCATGATCAGTGCCCGCCGCGACTCCGAATAACCATATAATAACAATAATAATAATAATATTTATTCTCTGGCTACTGCAGGCTGTTAAGAAGAAGAATAATGCTCCCTGTCTCGCCCTCAGGGTCCCTGATATAGGGCGGTAGCGCCGATGCGAAACGCTGCCGCTGCGCTGGCCTGCTTGGCCGCCTCCTTTTTCCTCTGCCCCGGCCTCGCCTGATCTGCTGCCCGTTTGATCTGCCTGACCTCGACCTTATAGACGACTCCGGCCGGCGTTTCATCCTCCCTTTTGGCTTCTTCTTCGCTTCTTCTTTTCTTCTTCTTCTTCTTCTTCCTTGCTTCTTCCTGCGCTGACTCAGCGTCGGCTTTCTTGTGCGCCACCAAAAACCTGCAGCTTCAGCGAACCAGGAATTCAACGACGGCGACGGCGACGGCGACCTCGATTCTCAGGGACGCGGACGACACTCTCAGACGAAGCAGGACGAGGATGCGGATGAGCCGGCTGGCCTGTCGTCTTGACTAACTCGTTGCTCTGCCCTGGCGGCGCTTCTTCTTTTCTTCTTTGCTTCTTTTCTTCTCTTCTCTAGAATACTCCACGCAACAACGACGGTAGCGACGGCGACAGCGACGACGGCAGGATGGGATTGACCAAGTCGCAGAGGATCGTCCTCCTCCTCATCATTGACTCCGTCTTCTTCGTTGTCGAGCTCAGCGTCGGTGAGTTGGCCTGTCTGTACCTCTTGCGGGTTCTCCTACTAACAACCTCCAGGCTATGCCGTGCACTCGCTCGCTCTCGTCGCCGATGCATTTCATATGGTACGTCGATCACTACGCGAAGAAAACAAACAATTATTGGTAGTTATTGATATTGCGATTGATACTAACGGTGATGACAGCTAAACGACGTCCTCTCGCTCTGTGTTGGCTTATGGGCCGTCAAGGTCGCCAACGAAAAGTCCTCCAAGACATACACCTACGGCGTGAGTCTCACCATCAACCATCTCACCACTTCACCACTTCAACTATCTGCAAGAGAATGACGGCTAACGGCTGGCGGTGACAGTGGCAACGCGCTGAAACCCTCGGTGCCCTCATCAACGGCGTCTTCCTCGTCGCCCTGTGTCTCTCCATCTTCCTCGAGGCCATCAATCGCTTCGTCGAGCCCCAGACCGTCGAGCACCCAAAGCTCATCTGCATCGTCGGCGCCCTCGGCCTGCTCTCAAACATCCTCGGCCTCCTCCTCTTCCACGACCACTCGCACGGCGGACACGGCCACGGTCATGGCGCCGACGAGGCCATCGAGTCCGCCGAGCTGGGCTACTCCCGCGAGATTGCCCAGCCGCCCTCCTCCGCCGCCCTCACGCCCACCACCCTGACCAACAGCGTTGTCATCCCCAGCTCGCCCAGCGCCCGCCAGCACTCACGCCACCACCCTTCCATCAGCCGGGTCAGCCGCGAGAGCAGGCGATACAGCGGGTTCAGAGACGCAGAGGACATCAGCGGCCACCCGGCGAGCCTGCGCCAGGACATCATCCAGGCCAGCCGCTTCGAGGACGAGCCCTCGCCAGACTCAGAGTCCGACAGGGAAGAAGACGTCCGCCAGTCCGAGGAGTCCCGGCTGCTACCCAACGCCCCAAAAGTCACCACCACGCCCTACGCTGCCACTTCTGTCCAGCCCCGTCCAGACATCCACGACCAGCACAACCACGCAAGGGCCAAGGACACCGCCGACGCCGACCACGAGCACGCCCATGGCCAGGCCCAGCAGGGACACGGCGGCCACGGCGGCCACGGCCACGGCCACGACCTGAACATGCGCGGCGTCTTCCTTCATGTCCTGGGCGACGCCCTCGGCAACATCGGCGTCATCGTCTCGGCCCTCTTCATCTGGCTGACAGACTACACCTGGCGCTACTATGCAGACCCGGCCATCTCCCTGCTCATCACCGTCATCATCCTCTTCTCCGCCATCCCGCTCTGCAAGGCCGCCTCCAGGATCCTCCTCCAGGCCGTGCCCGCCGGCCTCAGCATCGACCACATCATCGAGGACATCGAGCAGCTTCCGGGCATCATCAGCTGCCACCACTTCCACGTCTGGCAGCTCAGCGACACCAAGCTCGTCGCCTCGCTCCACATCCAGGTCAGCTTCGACATCAAGGGCGAAGGCTCCGACAGGTACATGACCCTTGCGAGACACGTCCGGAAATGCCTCCACGCGTACGGAATCCACTCGTCCACCGTTCAGCCAGAGTTCTACCCGGGGAGCGAGGAGAACTCCCTGCGCCCAGGCAGCTCCCAGCTCACCTCCGTCGCCAGCGAGTCCTGTCTGCTCGAATGTGGTGAAGACTGTGCCCCGGGCCGCCAGTGCTGCCCATCCGTGTAAACACCATACACGCACACGCACACACACACACACTCTCTCTCTCTCTTTCTCTTTCTTTCTCTCTCTGATACATCTCTCTACGTTCTCTCTTGTCTTTCTTTCTCTACTCTCTTTTCCATTATTTCCTGCTTTCTTTTCTTATTTCCTTCTCGTCTCTTTTCTTCTTCCCTCTGGTTTGGATCTCTTTTGCATTAATACCTCCCCTAGCTAGCCTGCTTGAATATCCTCCCCTCCATTCTTGAAACGGTATACCTATCTATCTATATCCTGGATGGCATCATTTCTTTCTTACGGCTTGTTTCCTGTTCTTTTTTTTTTTTTTTTTACTAAAAATAAAAAAAGCAGCTCCCTTGTACATAGACACCCTTCTCCTTGAGGTCATTGTAATAACAGTCACCAAAAAATGATACAGGTCTGGAACTAAATGCTCAGCTTGGTCTCTGAATCCCGCATAATCCATAATCCATCATCCAACGGCAGCAAGGCGACTCCCAGCTCCAGCTCCTTGTGAGAAAGTGGCCAGCTGGATCGTATGTTAATTACCCGTAGTCCGCAGCGAGATGGAGCCAGGGGCCCTCTGGAGTCGCAGCCATAGTGGCTACGGGTTGCAGCCAGGGAAATTGGCTTGTCTGAGGCTTCTTCAGGCCTCTCCACCTGGTATCTATCTGATGGCTAACTATATAACGCGCAATATAGCTATCCTAATGCCGATACAGCAAGGCAGCCTCACGCACTGGACAGCTGGTCATGGGTATAGCTAGCCTACAGCAGCTTCAATTGTCCTCCCTCGAGTCGCCAGAGGGTCTCCAGTATGGGTAGAAAGGATTTATGCTGGTAAATTCGCTTCTCGATATAACTAATGGATATACGAAATAAATAGTCAGCTACATTGATATATATTCTGAAGGTGAAAGTAACTAATGCTACTTGAATATTGGAAGATGGACTAGCTATTGATTGCAATATGCAGGCCAACAGTTGGCAAACTCCAACTCTTCTTCTCCCATGGGACAGATATTGAATGCAAACTTCAATGAATTACCAGACTGAAGTCTCTATAGGTCATATAATTAGTTAACTATAACTAGAGCTTGCCTTGAGAGAAATGGTCATTCTTCATGATTATATCGGGCTAGTTATATCTATCATCCTTCAAAATCTAGTTACCTAGGAGGTATAACTATCTGATAGTTATGGTCTATCCCTTTTCAACGTCCTTTTCTCTTATCCTCCTCGTTCTGGACCCTGCATCAACTCCCTTTACCCAGAACCACCAGCCGAAAATGAGGGCTACACTAATAGGCATTGAGACCGCCCAGAGAAGCCAAAACTTACTGTTAACAAGCAGAGTCCCCCCTCCTTGAACGTCACTAGCTTGGGGAGATGTCGACGGACCAGAGGCTTCGAAGAATGGCGTGCTAAATACTGTGGCCACAGTCGAAATAGGGAGGAAAACGGTGGCAACCAGTGAAAGCGCTTTCAAGCTATAACTGTCGCGTTGGGTTATGCGGCTGTTTCGCATAGCATCAATGTTGAACGCCTGTTGAGATCAACCACAAGTCAGCAGCTGGTAATTCGCTCGCAGAGCAGATTGGAGCCTCTGGGCACCGGAAAGAAAGCATACGAGGTTGATAATGTTGGTCAGCCGCTTTTCAACACTAATGGTGCGCAATCTGGTCTCCTGGAAAAGCTCCCTGCGGTGCAACAGCATGCCGTGCGTGGCTCTCCATATTGGGGAGCGTTTATCCGATGTTCCATCCACCAGATCAATTGACCTATCCTCCTCCTTCTTATTCTTTGGTGGGGGAGAGATGGTATATGATAGCTCTTGGTGATGTGCGATGGCTGCGTCGAGTGACCGAAGCGTGGCATCAACGGCTTCCAGCATAAAGATCGCATTTTTGGCAATCGTGTGGACGTAATAGAGATCGACGACTGGTGGGCCCGGGAAACTCGCGTCAAGGTCTCTGGTGCCTTTGAATGCATCCTGTCAGGGAGTGAAAAGGCGCTCGCTCATGCTCATCAGCTTTTAGTTATCTTCTACCGGCTCCTATTGATGGAATGCCCGGCGTACCTTTTCGATATTTTGGCAAAGATTATTTGTCTTCCAGGCACTCTCGTCCAGACGGAGATACCATGATTCATACACCATATCGAGCAATAGATACGGGTCTTGAAGGACATCTCCCCAATTGGATTCTTGTGCGAGGTGGAAGATTCGCTCGCAGATACCCTCCATCGGCCGAAAACATATAAGAGTAACAGGACCATTCGCGTGGCGTTTGTCCTGATTATTGGGTGTTTGACGGCTGGCTGTTGGTGTTGACCATTTCAGGACGGCCGCGGACTTGAGCCACTCTGCGTTTTCGGCATCTGGGGAAGACGCCGTGCAGAGAAAATGCATCCATACCGCTGGTTTAAAGCGTTTAGATGATGTCCAAGTTGCTGCAGCCAGGCTACACAGAGCGAATATTGTCAAGGCCTTGGAGGGTGACGTTACTTAGGTACTACTCACTTTGCGATCCGTCTCTGGCTAGCGACGCGCCGAAGGAGTGCGTCACTCCCTGCAGTCTCTCCAACACAAACCCGCTTGGAATTTCATACCGGTCTACCAGCGCTCGGAAATCAGGGATTGTGCTGGGACTATCGAAGGGGGCGAGACTAGGGCCTTCGTTAGGTCTCTCTGGTCTGTTGCATTTTATGGCCGCCTATGGAGCTGGCTGTGCGCTCAACTCACATCACTGTCAAGTCACAATCGGCAAGCTGAGGCAGATCCGTGACATTCTGGATTTTTGAACACTCAAAGTCCCGACCTGTACCATTGGGTTAGCTGGCTAAGCTGGCGCTCGGGTGTGCTGGTTATTCATTCATGCTCTCTCACCCTGATGCCACCGAAGGACATGGAAGGCGGCTGGTTTTCCCACGGCCTCTCTTCCCTCCAATTCGTCGAGGTGGCTCGGGTTTTCTGTGATTGTTGTCATAGTCGGTGTCTCAGCCTCCCTTGATTCCCCATGCAAGCCGCTTGTTGCCCTGCGAAGGACAGCCAGCAGCAAGTGATGGTAATTAAAGGGATATCTCAAGATAACTCATAGTGAAACCTGGTTTACCTCGATCTCCGCCCACAAAGAAGGTCCGCAATGTTCTTAAAAGCGGGGAGCCAAGTTGACGAGGCTGAGGCTAAGAGATTCCCGCGTTTTATCACATTCGAATAAAGGACTCTATAGTTTAGGAGAGGCGAGTTGGCTTGGTGCATGGTTGATACGAAGTGCATGTATGCATGATGCGCGCGGGACGGTTCATGTTGTGATATCACCACTAGCAGGCAGGCCTCCCAAAGCCGCAACATGGTCCCAGTGACAAGGATCTTGTTGGGCACATAACCAAAGGAAGCATACCCATATATACCTACTTACAGTAGTATCAGTAGCCAAGCATGAATATGCAAATGGCCTCTTACTCTACGACAGTTACCCATCGGGATGTCGTGTCAAATCAATATATTAGCTCCATCAAATTGCTACAAAGGTGGGTTGCCGTTATAGGGGGATAAAGGCTATTTATTTATTTATTTATTCTTCATTATACTCCTATATAATCAGGGACTATAAGGAGTTTCTATATTAAATATAGAAGAGAAAGGAAAGTCAAGATTTAGCCTCCTATAGGCTTCAAATTTTTAAAAAAGGTACAGAGTTAGTAGTAGGCTAATATAGCCAATTTAATAGTTAGAATTATTATAGCTAAATCTATTAAGATACTAGACTATTTATATTATTTTTTAATAAAGAATAATTCAGAAAAAAATAAAAAATAAATTTCTTTAAAAGTTATTAATTTATTAAATCTTCTATAAATTTAGTTATTAAGTAAACTAATTATTAATAATTAAAAGTAATATTATATAAAAGTCTAATAAATATAAAAAATATTTAAGAAAATGTTATATAAATATATTATTATTTTTTAAATGAAAAAAATAAATATATTATATTAGTAAAAATTTAATTTAATTTTATTATATTATATAATAAAATATTTAATAATATTAAAAGGTTTATATAATTTATAAAAATTTTTAAAAAATATATTTTAATTTAAAAAATTATTATTTAATTTATTAAATATTTAAATAATTTTAAAACTATAATTTAAATAATAATTAAAAACTACTTTAAATTAATTATTACTACTAATATTAAAATTAATGAAAAGATTAAAATTGGAGAATGATTAATTAATAAAAAAATATTAGAGAAAATAATTGAAAAATGAAAAAAAAATTTTTAAATATAAATAAAAAATAATAATAATAAAAATTAAATATTATTAGAATTAAAGAATTTAGAATAAAAAATTTATTCTAATTACTAATTTAGTAGAAATTAAATAAAAACTAAAATTAATAAAATTTAATTAAAAATAATAAATATAAAAGCTAAATTTTAAAATAAAAATTTATT